CTCAGATTCACCCTCAGGAAGAACACCATCTTCTGCTCTTTGCAGCTGCCTACCCACAAGCTACTCATAGTCATGATGCCATAGGTGCATGTCATCCTTACTGTGTTTCTCATCATCTTTGGCTATTGCTAGCTATTGGATTTTCTTGCAGAACCATTCTGACAAGAAGGGGTTCCCTGAACTTCTCCTGTAGATCTACCAAAAGAAAAGAAAAGTGAAAAAGAAACAAAGGAGAGGTAGAAAAAAGAAACAGAAGGTAAAAGGAAGAAGAGATAAAGGCAAATAGAGAGGAGGGTACTGGGGGATGATCCTTTTGTATGCTGTGAATATGTGTTGCTCTCATTGGTTGATAATAAAACTATTTGGTCAATGGTGAGGCAAGTTAATGAGGTTAGGCAGTATAATCAAATTAAGGAAGGGAAGAGATGGGCAGGGTCAGGAGACATTAGCCAGTTGACTAAGAAGCAAGATGCCAAAAGACCAGAAAGCCACAGGCCATGGCTTTATATTCTATATATTAATTCTATTAATTTTATAAATTAATAGAAATGTGTTAATTTAAATGTAAGAGGTAGTTATTTGTAAGCCTGAGCCATTGGCCAAACATTTATAATTGAAAAAAAGGTTCCGCATAAATGCATTTAATTGTTACATTTTAATACATTTGTGGTATATGATATATGGAAATTTTAACTGTCTTATTTGTTTTGAAAATGATTTCCCCTGTTTAGTATTTATTCCCATGTGATTTCAATAGGACTTTCTTTCAAATCCAGCTCTTCTATTTTTTTTTCATAATAAAAGATACATAGATTCCGCTTCCTTTTCCAGAAAAGATTATGTAAATAATTTTAGGACTTATATATTGCAAATATTCAGTTGTATTTTGTATGAAGCTGTGTGCTTTGGAAAGGGTTAGAGGAATGTGTCTTTCTTTTCAGATTAAATCCTGTTGTATTGCTTTTCCTGCATCCAGAGATTTTACTGTTTTCATAAGAGAATTTATAAATTCATTGGATGACACTGGATTACCATATAAATAGATTCAAAACAATTTTATTCAACCTAATGGTATATGTTCCTTTTGCTGTTTTTCTTTTGATTTGTCTCTTTCGAGAATGTAGGTAAGCACTATTGTGGGAAAGATTATTAGGAGGCAGGCTTTTGAAAATCACTTTGAAATATATGAATTACTTTACATTGTAAGTTAATCTGATTCTATGATCAGGTACTGAAGAAATTATCAAAAGTAGAATTATGTAATATACCATAATTGATCTGCCTCACTGGAAATAAAATAATAGGTTGTCATCAATTTTGTATAAGCACGCAATGTTTTGAATTCATCAAAGATGTTTAGAAGCAGTACCAAATAACATCACAAATTTTATAAATCAAGTATATGGATGTGATGATAAGGAAATGGGTTCATATAAAATTAAAAATTATTAACAAGTTGTGATGTTTCCCAAATCATCTAGCTTATGAAACTGATTACATCAGAATTTAATGCATATATAGTTCGCCTATATTTGTCTTGTATATTTTAATTTTAATTCTAATGAAGTTTTATATTTTATTTTGTCATGCAATTTTCTTTCTCCTGTGTATTTTTCAGTCATCTTGTCTCTCACGGTGATGTCATTTCTTCATTCTATTTCACTTTCAGTATTTTTCTTCATTAGTGTTGCTTTGCTATTGCTGCCATTTTTGCTAGGATCTATTTTTCAGTTATAATCCTAGCCATGAAACAAAGTATTTTCACTCACGTTCTCCTAGTACGTTAATTTCTTACACACACACACACACACACACACACACACACACACACACACACACACATTATAATGTACAGGTTTTATACTTGATTATAGGATTAGTTGTATGATTTTTCAATTTCTTTGTCAACATTGAATTGCTATTGTATTCCCAAATAAGACAATACTTAATTGAAGACACACTAAGTTTCTTGTAGTGCCTTGCCATAGTTTATTTTGCCATTGCTCTGACAAAATTCTCTCATTAAAGCTTCTTCATGGAGAAAGGTTTATTGTCACCAACAGTTCACAGGTACAAACCAACATGATGGGATAGTCAAGGTGGCAGACTGTAATGCAGCTGTTCACAGTCAGGAAGAAGAAAATATTGAATGCATGCTGCTGCTCAGCTCTTTCTCTACTTACCGAAACCAAGGTCCCAGGCAAGGAACAGTACCACCTATGACAGATATTCCCACCTCAGTACATTCCCCCGAATTATTCCAGATTCTGTGTAGTTGACATTTAACACTAACCATCATAGGTTTCCACAGGTGTGATCTAGTTGGTGAGTTCAGTTAACTCATGGTTTTCTTATCAAAACATTCTAGATTTGCACTAACCAGACTGGAAATTACAAGGTTATTATAAGGATTAAATGAAATAATTTGTAGCACTGGAAAAATATTGTTACAGCCCCTGTTCAGTAGGTGTTTCTACCACAAAATCAGTTCTTCCCCTCACCTTTTATTTTATTTTACAATACCATTCAGTTCTACATATCAGCCACAGATTCCCTTGTTCTCCCCCCTCCTGCCCCCCAGGACACCTCCCATTCCCACCTCCTCCAGGGCAAAGCCTCCCCGAGGACTGAAGACTGAGATCAACCTGGTAGACTCAGTCCAGGCAGGTCCAGTCCCCTCCTCCCAGACTGAGCCATGCGTCCCTGCATAAGCCCCGGTTTCAAACAGCCAACTCATGCAATGAACACAGGACCCGGTACCACTGCCTAGATGCCTCCCAAATAACTGAGATACCACCTTACACCTGTCAGAATGGTTAAGATAAAAAACACTGAAGACACCATATGCTGGAGAGGATGTGGAACTAGGGGAACTCTCCTCCACTGCTGGTGGGAATGCAAGCGTGTACAACCACTTTGGAAATCAATATGGTGCTTTCTTAGGAAATTGGGAATCAATATCCCCCAAGATCCAGCTATACCACTCTTGGGTATATACCCAAGGAATGCTCAATCATACCACAAGAGCATTTGCTCAGCTATGTTCATATCATCATTGTTTGTAATAGCCCAAACCTGGAAACAACCTAGATGCCCTTCAACTGAAGAATGGATAAATAAATTGTGGCACATATGCACAATGGAATACTACTCAGCAGAGAAAAACAATGACACCATGAGGTTTGCAGGCAAATGGATGGATCTAGAAAAAATCATCCTGAGCAAAATCAGTTCTTAATTCATATAGAAAGAATATATTCAGTCAATCTGATGAAGAATTGATTCTATATGTTTACCCACTAAACAAAATTATCCAAGAAAACATGTTTCTCAAAGGAATTATTTCCTTTGAATCTTACAGGGAAGAAATATATTTTTGTTCTGTTTTAAACCCTACAATTTAATCTCCAGAAACTCACCAATTCAAAAAGCATTGGGTCTACCCAGCCCAACCCTTCAAATTGTCAGATTCAGTTCCACTAGCTGCTGCAGCCAGGGTGGTGAAGGTATGCTGCTGTGATGCGTGGTGACCCTGAGTCCAGTCAGCACTGCATTCCACTGACCACTGATAACTAGGTCAAGCTTTTCACTGATTGATCATATTCAAGGGTTGAGCATAGCGAAGACATTGGACTTCAGACACTTCTGCCCAGGAGTTGGGGCACTTCCTTACTACAGAACGCCATGGCTGAAGCTGCCCCAACTGCACAGAAGAGAAAGATTCCTCAGATCCATCCTTCTGTCTGACCTCACTGCTTTCAAATATCAAACAATGATGGACATTACAGATGTCCCAGCTGGTTCCATTCTATTTTCCTCGACTCTTAGGCTTATTTTGTGCTGCAAACACAAAATATTTTAGACTAATAGAATATGCAGACTAGTTGGTGGATTAGAAATGCATTTCTCACATTTCTGTAGGCAGCAAAGTATGAGATCAAATGTTTGCATGTTCAGTTGGTGGTGAGAGCTGCTCTCTGCTCACAGCGTGTGCCTTGCTGCTGCAGAAGGGGCTAACTTTACTATTTCACATAGTGATAAAATAAGGGGCAAAAGTAGAAATAGTTCCCTCCAATATTTCTCCAAATCTATGTTTGCTGTCATTAGAGCACTAGTACTCTAGTATGCCTAATAATGTAACACTTTAAAAATACAATATATCTACTAATATGTCAAGACATATTATTATTTTCAGCATATGCATTTCATGGGTCATATTCAAACCATGTCACACTTTGTATGTGGCAGTAGGGTAATGTATACATGTGGTGTCTACACACGGGTTTGCAAATTCTTGTACTACTGTGTGTGTGTGAAAGGGCCAGTGGAAGAGGCTGCTTAGTTTTCTTCTATCACTCTTCAACTTATTGTTTTAAATCAAAGTCTCCCCAGAAAGGAAGTAAAGCCAGATGAGAGGGGAGGTGGAAGGGATTGGAAGGAGTAGAGGAAGTGATAATTGTAATCAGTATATATTGTATCAGAAAAGGAATCTATTTTCAAAAAAAAAAGTGGAGCAGGAAAGACAATGTTTCTCATTGAATGTGAAACTTACTGTTTTGGCTACTCTGGAGAAATTTTGGCTGCTAGAGAACATTTGGGATCCACTCCATCTGCCAGAGTGCCAGAGTTGCAAGTATGGGGGAATCAAGTGCAACTTTTATGTGGGTGGTAGGGATTTGAACTGATAACCTCAGGTTTGTACCAGGGTTCTTACTGAGCCATTTTATTAGCCTCCAGAAGACACTCTTTCAACATTCACAGGCAGGTCCCTCAATATATTAATTCTTCTAAGTCTTTTTAAACATCAGTGTCCCAGATATCAGAACTGACATAGACTGTCGACTGCTTTTTCTTTTATCTTTACTAATATATATGTCTTCACTTTATATATAATGCTGAACCATAGAGAAATGAAATTATAAAAAGAAAAAATGAATATACCATTATATTTTAAAAACTTCAGTGACTTAGTAAAAAAATATAATAATAATTATGTTTACCATGGGATAAGATCTTCATTGCACATTCCTAGAGAAGCATTTTGTCTTCAGACATCTGGAAAGACAGCATGAAGTTTGAAAATTATGTTATTAGAACACAGTAGTGTAATTGTTTTGGAAGTAATTTTTAAATTAACATGGATTATGAAACATATCCTTTCTTTTAAAAAAAATCTTTGAATTACATTTATTTGCATGAGGCATGACATGACACAGAGGGGGACCAGAACACAGCCTGCAGGATTCAGGTCTCTCATCCCCCTTCTGGTCCCTGGGGTCTAACTCAGGTCCTTAGTCTTGTCACGAGGATCCTTTTCCCATTGAGCCTTCTCCCCAGCCCTATGTATCCTTTATTGAATCAAATGTTTTTGATAAGACAGTTTGTATCTTAATGAGAATTACTGAAGAATATATTTTTCAAGCCTTATGGGGCTTTCCAAATTATTGTGCACAATCCTCACCCAAAGAATGAAAATGAATCCATCCTTTGAGAGACCAAGGTCACAATGATTGGTACGAAGAGGATACAAATCACCATCTCTAATTAGCATCATTTAATGTAAAGGTGTTGGACCTTTGTTTTTTACTAGAAATTCTTTTTAAAGGAATTTACATGACGTTTCTCCCGTCATATCTGTGTCAGACATCCAAATGCATCGCCTTTTCCTAGGCAACTAATGCCTCAGAAGTTACACAAAGCAAATCCACATGTATTAGAATTCCTGATAAAGGGAGCTGGGGATTAAGAAAGATTTGTTAATTGTGGCTGAATTTGAGATCTCTACCTTAACAAAATAAGAGATTATTAATGGATGCAGAATGCTCCAATTCAGCTGAATGAATTCTTTGCACATGACAAGTCCAATTAACATTTCATTTGACTTCAAGTGCTAAAATTCAATTTTCCTTCCTCCCTATTTAAAATCATGGTGTCATTAATCTAATTTCATTGCTGTATATGATTAAATATTATTTTACTGAATACATAATGCATTATTTTTAAATATTACTGATACAATGATGAAATTAATGATTTTTTTTTATTTGGTTAATATCCACATGCTTCCAAACCTTGTTTTGTCGGTGTTTATGCTAATATGCAGTAATCCTCTTTTAATCCTAGAGAGAGCTACAAGTGTGAATTGGGAGGGGGGAAATCCTGCATTCTTAATATATGTTAATTCCAAAAGGATAGAGAAGGATCATAGTGTTCTAAATGCAAATTTTATAGAGGCACACAGAAAACTCATGATAAAATCTGCCTCAAATGAGAAGGATTTTCATTAATGATGAGAAAACATGGGTCATGGTCTCTGGAGACGTTTGTAAAAATCTACAATGGGAATGGCAAACAGCAAAGCCTATTAGGCATCAAGCATCCTAGGAAGGGAAATGGAGTCACAAGCCGAGGAGGAATGGAAGTACAACAGTCTCCCAAGGAAAATTACATGGAAACTACTCAGGAAAAACAAACTGTAGAAAGCACAGATTCCTAGCTGGAAATATTTAAGGAATGTTTGAATCGTGACAGCATAAAAAATGCAGAAAGAGAAAAGATGTTAAATGTAGAATATTGAAACTGTTAATTGGATACAATTTCTAAAATATATTAAGCAGAACATAGTCAGCATTTTTTATAAACTTGCTTCTAATATCAAAATTACCAGATCATGACTTTTAGAGACGTCCAGTATTCTCTATGTAATCATGTAACACTCACCTCTATTTTTCACTTGCAATTTATAAATATATTTAGTGAGGAATAGCAGTCAGAGCTATTCCTTTCCAAACCCTTAATTTAGTCACAGATAGAATTGCTGATTGAATCTTCCCCTAAATTCCTCAAATTAAAATTGCTTTATCATTGATTTTTCAGTTTCAGGATAACTTGGTTATTTTAAAATTATCAAATACTGAAACTGAGATTCATTAATGTACAAATTATTCTAATTTCCAGTATCCAGACACAGGCATTGCTTGCTAGCATTCAGACTTTTACACCAGCCTGCTCTTGAGGACCTAGCAGGATATGTCATCAGCAGCAGCCAAGACATATTAGCAGCAGCAGTCAAGACATGACAGTGTAGCTACCATAACCACCAAGGTATAGCACTCTCCCTCTGCGCATGCGCTATAATTCCTTAGGAAATGCAAACCCTTCTTGCCCCTCTCCCTTTTATCTTTTGTTCTCCCTCAGAGGCTTCATCTGCACATCCCTACCAGTAAACCTTGTATGTGAGCTCTGTTGTACAGTGTGACTTTGTGATGTCTGTTGGCTCCAAGCTGCCAAGGTCGCCTCCCATAGTTAAACAATCACATTGCTGACACTTTAGAATATATATATATATATATATATATATATATATATATATATATATATGCTGATATTGTTGTCATCCACATCTTTAAGCAGAAGATTTTAGAGCAACACAGTAGAGAAGAATATATTTACTAACTGACGATTTTGTGTCTTTCAAAAATATTATACAGCAGACCCTTACCAATGTGTATCTATCATCTATGGATTGTCTCTTCTGTAATACTTGTTCTATGTAAGGCATATAACTTTAAGAAAAACAAAAAGATGATAATTTTTTTTAAATCACATCACCAAAACTTTGTAGAACCCAACAACTTTAGAAACAGTTAACTCCATTTGTTGTGGAATGGTGACTGGGTTCAAGTTCATCCTGCTTCAGTCTTCTCTACAACATGGGGAAGAGCAAATGATACCCTTGTTTGATACAACTTGACTTAGCACAGGGAATGTTTTCAAGTCCACACACTTGCCATATTTCATCATGTTTTATCCTTCTCTCTGTGTGTCTCTCTCTCCTCTCTCTGTTTCTACCTCTCTCTCTCAATTTATTTTACATCCTGGCCACAGTTTCCCCTCCTTATGTTCCTCCAACTCCAAGTCCCTCCCTCCCATCCCCCTCTGTCCCCACCCCCCAACTCATTCCTCTTCTCCTTCCTCCATTTCTATTTTGGAAAGGGCAGGCCTCTCATGGATATCCACAAAATATGGCATATCAAGTTGCAATAAGACTAAGCACCTCCCTATGTATTAAGGATGGGCAAGGTGACTCAGTACCTTTACTTCAATAAAATTTGCCTACATATAATAATGCTCTTTGCCCTATTCTGTAGGTTTGAAAGTTGAAGTTATGCAGTAGATTTCACTATAAAAGCTTGATTTTTTTACATTTACATTTTATTTATATTTTAAGAAATAATACATAGCAATAAATTAGTCTAAAGAAAATACAAAAATAGGTTTAGACTCATAAATCAGCATTTAAATTCAACTGAATGAAACACTCACACAATTTTATATTTTAAAACTGTTTTCTGGTCTGGTAACTAAATAAGGGGGAATCTCAATTAATATACTTTCAATTATTGTTCATTGTCTGTTTTCTTACGTCCATCCTATACTGCATTTTCATCACTCTTTTGGCTTACTTATCTTTAAGAGGCTTGTAGGAAGGAATGTGTGCTAGAATCATCCTAGTAAAATATGAACTCTTGCTTTATCCAACATCTTTCAACGTTTTGTAACACATTTAGGAAACTCATGTTTGAGTATTTACTTTATTCAAATATTGTTAAATGCATAAAATCATCACATTTTAAGAATGAATCATGATATTTTTGAAGAAAGGGATGGAGAAAATAATGAGTCTAAGGAATACCAGTGAAAGAACATGAGTATCATCTCTTGCTCTTAGTATGGCTATTTTGATACAAAATATGAAAAATTGGCAGGAAGAAAAAGAAACACCTGCATGTTGTTCAGGACAATGAGATTGTTTTAAGGTGGTATGTTAAATGTTTATGCACAGATTTAGTAGTAGATCCCTAGGTCTATTATCTGTAGTCTGAAATTTTTCTGTGACCTGGCCAGCTATTGGTCAGGACAAATCTTTCCCACTCGAGTCCCCCAAGAAAACACAGAGGCTTATACTAATTATAACTGCTTGGCCATTATCTCACGCTTATTATTGACAAGCTCTTGTGCTTAAATTAACCCACAATTCTTACTTATGTTTAGGCACATGGCTTGGTACTTTTTTTTCAGTTCTGCCTTGTCATCTTGCTTTGTCTGTGTCTGGCTAGCAACTCCTGATTCAGCCTTCCTCTTCCCAGAATTCCCTTGTCTCTTTGCCTGCCTATACTTCCTGTCTGGCTACTGGTCAATCAGCATTTTATTTATTAACCAGTCAGAGCAAAACATACTCACAGCATACAGAACGATATCCCACAGCAATTATCAACATACTCAGCTGTTTAGTTTGATAGGTATCAAGAGGAAGAGGACCAAGTTGTTGAAGAGATATTTTCACTGCTGTATTCTTTTCAGTATTACTCAGAGTGGACCATACGTTAAAAGTACCTCAACTGTTACACACAGGCTGCTAAAGAACCCCAAACAAACACATAAGCAAAACAAAACAAAAATCTCCAAGTAAACCTCACATACATCATGAAATATCCTTCAGCCATGAAAAAGAAGGAACATTTTCTAACTAGTGTCAACCTAGATGAACTAGAGAGGACATTATGTTGTGTGAGTTAAGATATAAAAAGAAACAAATCTGCATGATTTCACTTATATGTAGGATTCTAGAAATACATGTCTTGGAAAAAAAAACATATAATGGAAAGGATCAGATTGCCAAGTCATAGAGAGAAAAAAGAAATTTTGTTAAAGGATTGCAATGCTTCTGTTATGCAAGATGAGTTTGTGAGATATAGCAAACATCAGTATGAGTATTGGTGATAATATCGTATTTGTTTCTCTGAAATGTTAAAATATTAGAACTTCAGCACCTTCAATGCCTATAAAACATTGGCAATGATGAGAGACAATAGATACATCAATGATCTCAATTTCAGTGTATACTTCACAAAGTATATATGTATCTAACTATGAGTTGAATACCTTGAATATGTGTAATTTTTATTATTAAATATATCCCAACTATTTTATGGGAAAAAACTAGCCATTGTAGTTTTTTTAATTTTATTTTTAAATTTAGATCTTTATTTACC